GCCGCGCGGCGGGCGAGGGGGCTGACCCTCGACCGGGCGAGGCAGCCGAGCTCGCCAGCGCCAGAGCTGGCACGGGCGATGCAGGCATTTCCTGTGGGGAAGGTGCTGATGGAGGCCAGTTGTCTTCACGTGGCTCAGAGCACCGAGGGCGACGCGGCGACGGCTGCGTGCCAGTGCATCGAAGAAGTTCGAGATCGTCTTCGCGAATTTTTCGAGGACGCGATGGCTTGGGGAGCGAAGATGCGCCGCGATGCCCCGAACGTGGCGCTCTGCAACATCAACGACATCTTTCTCAACATGGGCACCTTCTTCACTACCGCGCACGGGTCGATCGCGAAGAGGAGCGCGGCGTCGGCCCACGGGGACCTGGAGTGCGTCGCGACGAACCTCCAGGATGCCATGGCGATGCTCAAGGTCGGTCACTACATGGTGGTTGACGTGTACTTTGGGCTGGTTGGGACGCTCGTGCCGAAGCTTGGCGACGCTCTTCTGGCATTCGAGGCGACGCGCAGATGGTGCAAGGCGGCGACAGCGCAGGTCGTCAAGAAGGAGGGAAGCCTGAGCCTGGCGACGAGAATAAGAACAAGGGCCACGATGATGCCGAGGCCATGGAGCTGGTGATCAGGACGGCGAAGGACTCGCATGTTGAAACCATCCAGCCGTTCTCCAAACTTGCCGAGTTATTCGGATCGAGCTTGGGCGGCTTCACGAGCACCTCCAATGGCTTGAACGATAGGTGGCAGAACTGCAATCACGCTCTGCACCAGCGCGTGGGCGACGCCATGTTCGAGCTGATCCACGAGGTTTACGTAAAGTCCCCGTTCAAGTTCGGATGTGGTATCAACCGCGCCACTGGCCTGCTGACGAACATGCTCTCGCACTTGGACTACTGCGTGAAGCTGGCGAATATGAAGCAGCAGCCCTCGCGAACGAAGCAGGAGCACGACGCTTTCGCGGGGGGCGTCGCCGAGTTTGCAGGCGCGGCAAAATCGGAATGGCGACGGCGAGGGGCGTCTTCTGCGGAGGGCTTTCTGTTGAGGCATGGCGATTCACGCGTGCTGCAGTGCGTCTTTCTTCAACGGCAAGCTCGCAGAGATCGCTCCGAACATCGCCTTCGGCCTCGGCGAAGTCAGCGAGGGCGTCGTGCGAGGGGCGCCGCGCCCCGATGCCTCCGGCAGACTGTTCATGAACGTCGCCATCGAGAGTCTCCTGCGCGGCGACGTCCACTGGGTCGACGGCGGCGATAGCGACGACAAGGCCGTGGAGGTTTCGCAGTGCAGTCAGGGCCTTGAACGGTCTTTCCCTTCATCCAGGCGGGCAACATGGACGCCGTCGTGATCCCGAGCGCCGCGCTGAACGGCCAGGTCGAGCGTGCGCCAGTGAAAGGACGCATATATTAATTTTGACATGGTGGCGCAGATCAAGAACGCAGCAGGGTGCTCGGCGCAGCTGCGCGCGAACGCGGCGATGAAGGCGACGCCAGATGCACTTTTCGGCAGCTACGCCCACGCGCAGAGCATGGCGTCCAGATCGTTGGCTCGATTGGACTGCCTCTTGGCTTCGGGCGAGGCGCGCGAGTTTGCGGAGCAAGGCTGGGCGCGCGCCGTCAACCCCCAGAGCGCGAGGCAGTGGGTCCGCGCGGCGGCTGTCAACGCAGGCGCTTCGAAGAACAAGCTGCTTGAGGTGATGGCGACGACCCTGACCGGCGTGAGCAGGGCGCGCGACGAGCCGCTTCCAGAGCTCAGCGCAGCGAGAAGATCGGGGCGGATATCTTCGACGACAGGACGGCGGTGATCGCGGGCTACAACTTCGCGCGCAATGCGCTGACGTGCATGGGCGGGGCTGGCTCGCTCTTGGACGCGACGCCGCCCGTGCGGCGCAACGACGCTGCAGCGACTTCGACTGCGACCGGGATCGCGTGCGTGGCCATTGGCGTTCACCCCGTGCACCGCGCGCCATCGGTCGCCCGTCGAGCAGCGGTCGAGCGCCCCCCCCTCCCCCGCCGCCCTCGGCCCAGGAGATAGATGTGGGGGGGCAGTGGGAGGTGGTGGGGGGGGGGGGGGGGGCGAGGCTGATGGGGTGGATGACGAATGAGAAGGAGGGGGGGGGTATCGGACAAGGCGGAGGGCGAGGGGGCAAGGGGCGGGGGGTGGGGGGTCAGGCGAGGTTGAGGTGGAGGTGGAAGTAAACAACTCAGGACAGGGGTGGGTGGCCAGTCTGCGGAGATGGAGGAGGATGGGGGTGCGCATGATCGGCGCTCGACTAGCGCCCCCGCGGCGGTGCGCCGGGCGGTTGCGTTGGCCGCGCAGGGGGGGGGGGGGCGCAGCAGGTGGTGGCCGCGGCCATGGGCGCGGAGATTCCGCCGCGGCTTCGGACGCCCCTGGCGGGGCCGCAGGATGCCGGGGAGTAAAGGAGCAAGTGCAAGGGCACCGAGGAGCACAAGGACTTGCCCGTGGGCTTCTGGAAGGAGTTCGAGGCGATCGCGGAGGCGGCGGCGCCA